ACAACCACAACCACAACCACAACCACAACCACAACCACAACCACAACCACGACGACAACAACAACAACAACGAAAAAGGACACCAATCGGAATCGACATTAAGCGGTCACAGCTCATAGGCAAAAAGGTCCAATAAGTCATTAACCATCAATGTAGACTCTTGATGATATTTCAACACCCCACATGGAGAGGCTTTGCAATCCAAACATGGGGGGTTATAAATCATTATGAATCAAGAGTCTTGGGTCTTTGCAGAAAGAGTTTGACCTGGTCTATCCCGGTCTTTCTTTCATAAACTTTCAGCTACAACGCTCCGCCGGTCTTTGTCGCGACACCGCCGGGTGAGCCGGAAGATCGCGTCCACGTCCGGGTCCTCATCCGCCAAGAACTGTTGCACCGCCGGGGCGCGGCGAAGCCTGTGGGATGGGTGGGCTGAAGATGGCTGAAGTGGTCTCTTCATGAAGAAGATCTTTGATCTGATCACCCGAGAATATCTTGGGAAGAGTGGGGGGTCCCGGGATTCCAAGAAAGGTGTCTCTGTATTGTCTCCTAGGTCCTAGTTCAACTCTTGATGGACTTGGGACTTGGAGGGCATTCCCCGTTTTGATTGCAACGCCCATTTTGATCCCTTTTGGATCCTTTTGGTGCATTGGATGGTGCTTGCGTGAAACGGATGTGGTTATAGGCTGATGCTCCAAAGATGACTCTTCACTTTGTAGACTTCGAACAATTGTGTGAAGCCTACCCGCATGCACTGTACAAAGCCATGCAGCGTCTTCACGACAATGGTCTTGTTGAAGGTCTCCTGAGCCTGGACATAGTCCAGCGGAAAGCCTCTGGGCCACATGTGTCCACAACCTCAGGCACGGGAAATCCCTCAAGAGGGAAGGACCACGGGAAATGACATGGAACAAAAAACAGCTGATCTAAGAACTACATGAGCACTACACCACCAGCTGGATGGAGGTACGACTGGGCCTTTGAGAGGTTATGTTTCAATCTCATGGTTCGGCCTTGGCAAGCTCATGTAATAATGTATATATATAGTCATAATATGTATTTATATATATATTTTTTCTTGCATATGGTTGCTAGGACCATCTGATGTTCAAATCCAAGCAGCTGGGTTGAAAGCTGGGATATGGATTCATCAGCCCGGGTCCACCTGTGCTCATCACAGGTTTGATGACAAAAAGAAACTGACATCAAGCGCCCAGGTAGTACTGGAGCATAATAAGACAATATATGTCTTTGTATCGCACCACAGACTCTATATGAATCTATCGGGGTGCCAGGTGGTTTGAGGGTGCAATCAGCCAATATCAGCCACACCAAAACACATGAACCAAAGAATAGCTGAAACATGCTCAAACGCAAAGCATGAAAAGGATCCTCTCACAGCCCTATGCGTGTGGTTCTCCTGAGAAATGATAGAAATGCCAAGTCACCCGGGTCACCCTCTGGCCACGAGACGTTGGCCGCCAGTTCGTCGCCCAGGATCGGGATCCGAGGTTCCTTCCTGGGACGGCCGTCATGCGACATGGGGAGTCATGCCGACGCGGGGAGTTTTCCAAGACATGTCCGTTTTCCGTTTTCTATGGTTTTCTATGGATTTCGTGAAATTGGAAGGGTCAAAATGGTTCTTGGTGCAAAGTAACATCCTTGGGGCCGTGACCGACAAATGTGATGACACATGGTAAAAATAAACATATAAAAAGTCGACACTTACTGTAGTACTTAGTACGGTGGGCAAGGGACAAACCCAATCCTCTAAGGCAAATGAACTCGACCCATGCCGGTCCGCGACCCTCAAAACGCTTGGGACCCTGGGTTGGACCAGTTTCCAAATACCAAGCTAGCGCGGTCCTATGCCATGGCGCATTGATGAAACGAGTGCGACGGCTGTGCAGCAAATTGATCCAAATTCTGGATCCCGTGACAAGGTACTTTCACAATTCACAAGGGGTGCCTTGTGTGATGAACACATGCCAACGCTTGTCTGATAAACACATGCCAACCATCATGTCACATGACATAAAACACAAGGGGTCCTAATAAGATCTAACAAGGCACTGGAAGAGTGGTTCGTTCGACGATCAACGAGGTGGCAGAATACCTTCATCCAGGTGTCAAGCGGTTGTCGTCATCCGTATCATAGATGACTTTGGCACCATGCGCGATGGCGAAGAGGAACCCCACATTCTTTCCTCACTCGGCGGCATTTTGGGGGCTGCCGGTTCAGCGGTCTAGCATAATTATGAACGGCCTCTCGACCCGGCTTGGGATTGGAGAGTATGCAAAGGGTAATGGCGGGTATGCCATCCCAAAAGCGCACATGCCAGAACTGACATGTGCCTGTTTCCCACTTATTTGCTCTCTTTGGAAGTGGTTTCCAGAGGATTGCCATCTGAGACAGGGCTTGCAACAGTTGTAAGGCCACAACATGAATGCGCTTTTTTACGGGGCTAGACCATGCTAGACCTTCATTGGAAGCAATAAGAAGCCATGATCACTCAGCTGGAAGCCGTAGGAACACGAATAGGATCGAATAGGTCACATCGAAAAACCGCACTTTTCTTGCTCATGGATGGTGACCGAGACTCGCCCGAAGTGGCGCCAAGGGAGGTAGTCCATGATGTGAAAATGAAGCGCCTTCTGCCGTTCCACCGTGAGGTAGATCACGCCCTCCACGTCGTAGTCCTCACGCGCGGGGTGCGTGAGTTCTCTCAAGTCTGATCACTTCGTCCTAGCAACCAATTCTGTCAAGCCATCATGGCTTCTTCCCTCAGCATGGCGGACAAAAGATCTACCTAAGGTATTGATTTCACTGGTTTACGCACCAGATGGCCTGCCACCAAACCACACCCAGTGATTTGCCAAGGCCTCCACCTCAACTGACGAGCGACAAACTCCCCCCTCCAACCTCCTCCCACTCCTAAGCCCACCACCCTGCGAAGAGGCTCCACACAGCAAACTCCTCCAACTTCTTCCCACCAACCTCCAACCAACCTGCCAACCTGCTCTCCAACCAACCTCCGCACGTCCGCTTAACTCGCTCCGTTCTAACGCCTGAGGTCCGTTCTGGTCGGCCACCACCACGAAGCACCATCCTTGCTTCGTCATCGCCCCCAGGCTCCGCGTGGCCTCCGAGGGCGCGAAGATGGAGGTCACCACGATCCAACGCTCGCAGCGCTCCTGCGAGCGACAGGCGCGCCAAAACGTAGCGGCACGGGATTAAAGGGGATGACTGGCCTTTGGGGAGCATACTGTGTAATATTTTTGGATAGGTAACAGGTCCTTTCAATTGGACCTAACTGTATACATTACATACAATATTGCATTATTGATCATATTCTATCATTATTTCTAACATCAAAGGCCTCCATCCTTTCCTCATCAGCCACTCCCTCCTTTTCACTCCCTTCTCTCCACCAATTTTGAACACATCTCTCCACCCTACCCCCAATCCAATCCCCACCCCCAGAGTTTAGCACCTGCCATCGGCTTCGCCACCCTGTGAACCGCAGCTCTGGGACCTCTCGCAGTCGCTCTCCGCTGAAGCGTCGCCCCGACACGCCGCTGGTGCTGCTGGGCGCCGTGAGACTCGTCGCTGAGGCGAGCAAAACGGCGGGCGCGGCCACGAGGAGAGCGAGCGCGGCGGCGAAGGCCATGGTGGCGCGGGTGGTGCAACAAGCTTGACTTATTATCGAAATTTATTGGATATCCTTTCATGAGACACGAAGTATGCCATCTCTCAAACCGGGGGAGCACCATGGTTTTGTTGGGCATCATTTGCCTTCTCTCAGACGTTCCACTGTTCAGTTTGTTCGATCTGATGCAATGCTTGTTGTTTTTTCGGGGTTGGAGCTTCAAGACTCGTGCTATGTGGGGGCCTGGATCGGGCTGCCGTCGTTGACGGATCGCGCACTGACGGCCCTCGGTGTTGGGCCAGAATGCCAAAAAAGGACACAAACAACATTGATTTGTGGGGGGGTGTTGGTTGTTGGTTGGGGTTGGCTCATTCATGAAGCAGGACAGCCTTATGCAGCCTTGTTGGGGTCGCACATGGTCGCACGTGACTTGATGATGTTTGATCCTCTCAGGTCATGAGCTCATATTCTTCAGCTGATGGCTGCGCATGGTGAAGCAGTTCCACTTCTGAACACCCCCCAATTGGCCTTCTGCAACATTCCGCAAGAAAACAGGGCTTCAGAGCCCAATCCAAGTCCAAATGAATCGAGAAATGGAAGAGTCGGGGCAGCTCCAGGTGTGAGATGTGAATGCCTCCTCCAGCTTGACACACAATTCACGAGACAACAAGATAGGCACTTGATCTATGAGCAGGGGGGTCTCTCAGTTCAGTTCAATGTCAATGTCTGTTGTTGTCTGTTTAAGTGTGGAAACGTGTGGACACTCAACACCTCTCTCAGCCTAGCTCCAGTAATTACAGGATGCTGAGCCCCACACCCCAAAGGCCACCTAAGCCCAACTTCCCTCCAAGCGTCATGAAGGACGATGTCGCCCTGCTCTCCGTCAGAGACGAAGTCAGGAAAGGCCAGAAGCACGGTCGGCGTGATGAACAAGTTCACCGCCATGGCACACCTCAACTGCTCGTTCGTTCGTCCAGCGGCTGAAAGCGCGTCCGTGCGTCCCACGCGTCGTTCCCTGGGCATCGCGTCGTTCCCTGAACTGTCAAGCGCTGGTTCGTGCTTGCTTTGGCACGTGGAAGAGTTGTAGACCAGAAGTTTTGCAAAGACCATGCTGTCTGTTTTCTAATTACAGTACTGTTACACCCTCCACGACTTCCTGAAGCCCTTGCCACAGTATATGCCCACATGATCCCACATGTAGCCAGCAAAAGTCCAGAGTTGGTACATGTGGGTTCGGAAATAGCATAAACGGCATAGATATGCATAAACCACCTGGCCTAGTTGAGGCAAACGTTTAGCCCACCACTCCCTGAGCTCGTCACAGGATGGAGACCAAAACCCCTGCAGGCTTTGAGGAAGGCCAGGCGGAGAAAAAGGACACGCATCACAACCGAGGATCTGAACAATATGATCTCAGGCTACCAGGACCATCTAAAGGGTGTAAAATGGACGCTTGGCCTGAGTGGTGTCGGGTCCAAATTGGTTGGATGGTTCTGGATGGTTCTTCCTTTTTCTTCGGAGAATTCATTGGTTTGATCCGTTTTTGTCCCTTCATGGAGATGGAGTTTTGCAACCCATGGAGAGAGAGGTGTTTTTCGCCAAGGCCTTGGCCCATCGACCTCAACGGTCCACTGAAACGATCTCAAAGTGGTCGACGTGGTCGATCGACGGTGCTTTTCGGAGGGCTTGACTCGAAAAGAGTTCACATCCACTGTGCCCCAAGAAGTGCACCATTGCAGAGATCATTCTACCCAACATGGTTTTGTCAAATCGAGCCTCACAAGTTTGCATGGTAGAGCTTTGTTCGTGCTCTTCTTGCAAAAGAACTTCAATTCCTCGAACAGGATGGTTTTTTCTGATCCCAGGTGTGTTCCTGTTGTCCTTTCCCCCGCATCAAACGCGAACTCGCTGCGCAGAACACGCGAACTCGCGAGTGCGCGGCAACTGTTGTCCTTCCGGCCTATGCTCAGGCTAAAGGATTCCTGCAGTGGCAGCTTTTGCACGGCCAGGCCGCAGTAGCACAAGGTGAAGCCCGAGGCGAGAATCACCTCACCGAAGCGAGGGGTTTCCGCCGAAGCTGGGCCCAGGCGAACGAGGCAGCACGCTGGGCAGCTGGCTTGCAGCATTAAGATGTTGGGATCCTTTGAGTGACTCAGAGATTCCAAGAGCAAATAGTACCCCTCTTAAGAACAACGGGTGCTTCGGGTGAAAGTGAGTTTGCCCAGTGGTGATTCATGGTGACTCCTATCAAAAAGAGTTGCTGAAAAGGAGATCTTGGCCACTGCGTCTAGGCTCAAAGGAAGGACATCAATCCCCGGAACATCATCGCGAGAACCATGAACCCTTTGCAACATGGCCGAGCACAAAAGCCCGTCACCCAACTCAACCCAAGGTTTCCAGTGGTCGGCACTTGACGTGAGGTCACCTTTGTGAAGAACAATGGCGCAACTAGTGTAAGAGTTATAGATCATCCACCGACAACGACAAGGTAACAAATCTCGTCGAACTGTTTGTTTGAGAACTTCTTAGTCTTGCTTGCTGGAGATTGAAGCCACCCATCACAGTTTGTACCAATGTGCTTGTTAGCAACTTGTGAGCAATGCATCAAGACTCTGTAGCCCTGATGAACAAAATCGTGTTTGCCTATATACCTGGATTCTTCATCGCCCATGGTTGTGAGTGGTTTGGTTTTAACGCACATTCCATCCATGTGGCCCTCGAACTGTCTATGACAAGTGACATGGCCACTATACCGCACTGAAGCCTCAGCAATGAGTCTGCATCCCCAGCAAAACCCATTATATATACATAACATAGAGTATTTATACGGCAAAGACTTCACCTGTGCGAATGAGAAAACGGATGAACAAGGAGTCAACCAACCGAAGTCTGCCAGGCATGTGACGTTCACACTCGAAGGCCTGGCAACTTGTCTTGTCTTGGGAGCCTATCATATGGAACCACGGCACTGCTCAGATTCTCAATCGGAGCAAAAGCTGTAGCCAACGCTGCTTCGTGGGACAAACTCTTCAACTTTCAAACAAACCCTCTTCTTCAACACTCAGTCAGTCCCACAGTGCTTTCTGTTATATAATCTGCAAACTCCAAACAACAAAATTCAGGGTGTAACAGTCGTCAGCAGCTTGAAGCTGCTCTTACCAGGTCACCAGCACATTTCACAATCCCTAGCTTAAGTATAATGCTTGAATCAGTGTCAAACTTCACCAGCTCTCATTCTGATTGACACTCATGATTGTTATACAGTAACGTCTGTTAGCTGCTGTACTGAGTTGCCATACCTGTGATTCCACAAAAACACGAACACATATATTCCCAAACCAAACAGAACGAAACAAGGCATGCCGGACTCGACTGGTCCTTTGACCCATTCAGCCTCATTTCCAGCGAAAAGGAGCTGTGACAGCTCCCAGGTGTGACATGCCGATGGCTATCTCCTCCTGAAATCCTGGCCACATTGATGACGTGGCATCGTGAAGTCGATGCGATGATTGGCAAGTTGCACTGGAGACATGCGAGACCTAACAATCACATCAGTGATTCAATCCACATCAGGCAGTGCCTAATGTTGGAAACGGCAGTGCTTGTTGGAAAACCAAGGATGACAACCATGTTCATCGGAGCCACGCACGTGGCTCCAACGAATAGGTGGGGACCGGTGGGGGCGAAATATGTGAAAATAGCTCCTGTGTGAACCGATACTGGACGCGTGACAGTTGCAGATCCGAGCATGGCAGGAGCCCCCATCATCCCTTTCCTTCGGACTGGGTGGGTTGTCATAGGTTCACCATCACATCAAATCACATCACACTCATAATTCACAAAGGAAACATCAACTTGAACAACTCGAGGAACCTTTACACACACAAATACGAGCACAAGAGAGAACAGTTGCAGCCCAATAGTTCTGTACCATAGCCTGTAGCGCACTTTGATGAAGCCCCCCTCCCTTGTACATTAAATCGATTTGAATCCTTCTCAACCAATCCTCTTCTCCCATCACGATAGGCTGGTGACCAAAAGTGCTCACACCCGAGCGCTATCGGTCGAGAGGCGCACGAGCAAGAAGAGGGAGTAGTCGAAGGTTAAAGCTATGAGAATGGATTCCGCCATTACTGGCACGCCTCAGGGGAAGCAAATTGTCACTCTGCATTGGTCACATGGTGAAGGCCCTGCAAGACCCAAAGAATCACCAACCAATAAAAAGCCTGGTTTCGATTCCGTTGTTTTACACAGAATACCACAGAAGTGTTCTTATCTGACCAACTTTGGTGATTCTTGTCTCCACCAACTGGAAAGGCTGCAGGAGACCCGACACCGTCGTGCCAATGTGGCTTGGTTTGCCCGGGGCGAGCCAGCTCGAGTTTCCTTCCCAGCCATCCATTCCACTGCGTGTTCCACCCCCTGCCCGAATCTGGTGGACACGGGGCTGGTGGACATGACAATGCCCGAATCGGCCATCCAGGTCATGATGGCGAAGCAAAGGATGTTGGCGCAAATCATGGACAACAAGGTGATCCTGCATTCGCGTCTCGTGGCATTTCGGGCTCCGAAGGTGATGTGCTTTTTGGGGCTTTGGTCAACAGAGATGGATTCAAAAATGCATGTGTAAAATGGAAGGCTCAGCTGGTTTTGTGTGGCGGTCACTGGGGGGTTTTCCGATTTCTCTGCTGACGGGAAGGCCAGCCTCATGGAAAGGGATTTGTCCTGGTTCAGGGCTGAAACTAGGCACAGGTACTTGGAAACGATTGGTACTCAAATTTGCTGGAACCCCCCTAACTACCTTTCTACTGAAAGCTTCAGTCAGATTTCATTGTCCCCATTCGTCATCACCTGCCATCTCGCCAAGCTTCAACATCAGCCGCCACGATTGGACCTCGGCCCAGCTCCACCAAGTGTAGATAAGGCTCCAATGAAGATCGAAGGAACATGAGTGCACCCCAAGATACTCAAAGCATACTCAAAGCAAGGGGATCCAATGGGTTTTCATGCACTGGCCAGGA